TGTATATACTTTTACATTTTGTACTTACCCACCACACTATAGTCTGATTAATGTAATCAGGGTCAACAACCATCTCTATAATAGGTCGTATAACTCCAAAGACTACCAGCTCACGGATTATAAATCTAAAATGTTTACTATGAAAGTCATCTGCTGGTAATAGTAAGAATAAAAGAAGCTCACAGATACTTTGAAGATATTCTGAAAAGTAGAAAAAATGACACTTAATTGATTTGTTAATTTATTCAACAGTATTTAAGGACACAAAAACAGACCTGATAAGACATTGAAACTCTAATAAAACAACACAGTACTACAAAATAACAACACATCATAAGTATAATTCACATTACTATTTATTATTATTTATACTCCTCTGCAGTTGAGGTAATAAGCACTAACATTCATACAGTAAGTCAACATTCCAATTTCCATAATTACCTACGGCAATATTGTATGACACTCTAATTTGTGTATTATTACGTATATAATAAATACATTATAATAAGTATGTAGGCCAACTAGTATTAAACTATCAATAATAAAATAAACAAAGTCTCTATGCACTCTAGCAATTTATCTCAGGAATAATGCTACAAGTAAAAAATAAGAGTCATATAATAGTCCTTGGCTCACAGAAAGTAATAATACTAATGAGAGAATGCAATATTAAAGCCAGTAAAGAAATATTCCTCAATTGTGGAATGAATACTGAAAACTAAATATTAATAAATCAGGATATCAAGAAAAAAAAAAGAAGATTTGATAGAGATTATTGAAAATGGTAAATATGTAGGACTTATATTGTTTGATATAAAAAAGCCTTTGATATGGTCAACCATAAAATACTAATAAATAAATTATATACCTTTAATTTTGATAATCAAGTTGTTAAACAGTTTGAAAATTATTTAACTAATCGTACACATACTACTAATATCAATAATGTCAACTCTATACAGTGCAATAATCCTTGTGGCGCACAAGGATTAATACTCGGACCACTTATTTTTATTCTTTATGAATGATTAACCAAAATCTGTTTTTAATGTAAGTGTAAGTATGTATGCTGAGGATACTACCCTATATTATGCTGCAAAAGACATCGATGTTATAAAAAAATTAAATGATGATGTTAACAATGTGAAAGTATGGTTAGCAGGTAACAAATTAAGTTTAAATGTTAAAAAAACAGAATATATGATTCTAGGAACTCCTCAAAAATTAAACAAGCTGACTAACATGGATCTAAACATTAATATAGATGGTTCAAAACTACAAAAAGTCAATCAATGTAAGCATTTAGGTGTCATTATTGATGACAATTTAAAGTGGCAAAAACAAATTAAGCATGTAAAAAATAAAGTACTCTGGAACCTACTACCTAAAAAAATGCAGTAAAATTTTTCCCCAAAATATGTATAAATAGATCATTTCCCACCATTTTGACTATTGCAATGTTGTATGGGGTCGTTGTAACCAAACACTTAGAAATAAACTCCAAGTACTACAAAATAGAGCAGCAAAAATAATAACTCCAAAGTCCAGATACGATTCCAGTTTATAGGCACTAAGAGACTTAAATTAGCCAAATTTAGAAAAAAAAAAAAACAACAAAAAACAAAACAGTATACCAATGAAGCTGTAACAATGCATAAGATAATGATTAATTTAGCACCATCCTACTTAAGAAACTGGTTCCATGAACATGAAGATATATATGAAACAGGGTCAAATGACATTTTACGCTTACATAAACTAAAGACTGAATATAAAAAAAAAATCCGAAATAACATAAATAATTTAAATAATTTAGCAACAACTACTAATAATATTTATACTTTTAAAAGACTTACAAATAACTGACAGGATTAAATATTTTGAATAACGAACAAAAAACTTTAAACTGTTCTACATTGTCATGACATCACTTTTTAGTCTTTATAATGTTAATATTTTAGTATTTTACATTTCTTTGCTCAGAATGTATTTCAATATATATGTATGTTTTTTAAATTTAAGTTTCTTCATTTCATTTCTATCTTCTTGCAAAAACTGCCTTGTGAAAAACACCAATATGGTGATACAAGTTTTCTCCATTTTAAAATAAAGTTGTTATTATTATTATTAAACAAATGCAAACACTAATGGAAAACAAAATGTCTTCATGAATTTCTTAATGGTTATTTTCTTCTAATATGAAAGACGAATGTTTTTTAAACGATAGTCCAGAGACTACTTTATTTGGCATTAGAATAAAATATGAATTAAAGCTAACAATACTAGGACAATTGGTATCAGGTACATCAGACATTTTATCAACATTATGAAATAAAAGTTGGCATTAATTTTAAAGTGTTTTTTTAAAAAATAATCCTGTTCTGTATGTATAAATCAGCAAAAAAAAAAAACACAAACTACTCCATATACCACAAATCTTTTAACAAATTTTTTTCTTTTAATTTTTTTTAATACTGTACCTATTTCATGTTCTTCTTTGGTACATATTCGATCCCTGCAAAGATCTTTCTCCATTTCTAATTCTAAATCAAAGAAGATATCTTCTATACTAATGTCTTTATCTTCGAAATCTGTAAAAACAAAAATATGTGCCATTAAAAAGTTGGCAAAATCATGTAGACTCTTGCTTATGTGTCTTTGTTTTCCTGTTCCAAGAGTTAAAAATCATGTGGACTTCATATTTCTTAAAATTTGATTGTTCTTATTTTTATATTTTATGCGTGAATATGTAATTGAACTGAAAAAAAATATAAAATGTAAAGGTAACCACCAAGTAGTTACATTAAAAGTAGCAGATTAAAGTGCTCCACAAATCATTTAATCTGTGACTAGCAGAATGAATATTATATATGTGCATTACATTATTCTACATTATTGCATCACATTCCATTACCATAGCAATTTGATGTGTTTTATTGATTGTTCTTATATTATAAATTTATAACATGTCAGTGAGTCAACTGAATTATAAACAGATTGAGACAAAGAATCGACGTAAGAGCTGTTTTTCATGTTTGCTATTGGATGAGATGGTGCATTCATGGTTGTTGATAACAATATTAGCAAAAATGTGTGATCTAAACAAAGTACTATATTAATCAATAAAAAGTGACTTACATCAAAATATCAATAGTCATTCTATTATATTTATACATTTCTTTGAGGGTCCCAAAAGATCAGCTTCTGCTGGATGGATCACCCTCATTAAATATGGTTCAAATAAATAAAAAATAAAATTTAAACAGGTGATGCAGATGGAAATAGTTCAAAGGTCAACTAAGTCACACAATAACAACCGTGATTCCATAAAGGTGCAGCTGGTAATCGGTGTATTGGAATTTGAACCTTTCTACAGTGCAAGAAACCAACTTGTATTTCTGGATAGAAAGATACAACTACATTTTGCAATCCTACCACTACAAGAAGCACTCATGATACATATTAAAAATATATTCAATCAATTAAAGTATAAAATTCAAATACCGGTATATCTATTTATAAAGTTCGCTATTTCTCCATACTCCATGTTTTATTTTCTTTGTATAGAGACAAATATTGGCATTAGAGGAGATAGAATTGGCCAGGCTGAGATTAATAAAGAGGATTGAAACTACCAGCTTGAGATTAGTGTTGATCTGAATTCACTATCCTGGAATTCAGTCACAAGTCTAATGCTAGCATTAGGAGATTAAAAGGATTCCGATACACTGCACTAAATTTTGTCCAAAATACCTTCTTGAAGCCGCTGTCGTCTAAGCTTGTCTTGAGCTTTGCGGAAAAGTCTTAAGTGCGATGCAAAGTCATCTACTGTTTTCCTTGTGGTGTAATCAACCCAGTCAACATTTTTTGATCTGAAATTTTAAAATAATGGAAGTAATGAGAAAATGATTGATGTATTATATATTTTTAGTTTTAATGACTGATAATAGAAAAGAAACAAAATACTAGATCACTAGCATTATACAAAATCTATCAACTTTATTTTGGAAACAAGTCCATACAGCAAAATACACTGTTTGATGGGATCCAAACCTGAAAATAAGAGTAGCATTGTTTTTAGATGACATTAAATATTTTATTTATTTAATTATTAAAGAATAAAATAGTAATATGAATAGCTTTATTACTAATCATTTTGGGATTATAATATACAAAAAAAAAATAAAAAGAAAAGTTTGGAAAAGAAATAAAAGTTGATAATCCCTCCCCCACCCTCCACAAATTATATGTTTAAAACTTACTTTTAAAATCTAAAAAATAAAGCTAATTAAGCATCAGTGCCTATGGTATGTAATTGTACTGTAATGACATTATAATTCTCATTTGATATTTAGCTTGACATCTACTGTACTCACAACACTTCGCCTTGCAGCATCCTTTACTTACTAACAGGTTTTTAAGATTGAGTATATCTACAGTAGATATACATGTTTCTTTCTGCCCTACAAATCTTTCAAAGTACTGGGGTAATGCTGGGGGAAGAGCACCGGAAGAGTTCCAAGGTTGTTGCCACTACATCACTGTATTTGTCGGGGTTTTTTCATGTATTTTAAACAAACACTATTAATGTAGCCTGTTTTTTTAAATAGTTTTAATTTTTAATTGACTTCTTTTGTCATTATACGAAATACGAAAAACGTTATTGCAATCTCAAATCAAATCAAAATTGAAGTTTAACAAAGGTGGGGGAAAAAATTTAAAAAAATTACATACAAGAAACATACAAATATTTAAAAAAAGAATTAATTTAATAATAGTTGATTTAATTAAGGAAAATATTGTTAAGACTTTAACAAAAAATATATAATTTGCTAAAAAATTTGAAATTTATGACATTTTATTTACAATTAAATTAAATGATTATATTACTATTCCAAATTTGGAATTTGGAATTAGAAATTGCACCTGGGCCCCCAGTGGATCCGCAGCAGCCATAATATGGAACCAGTATAATGTTGTTTGTAGGCCTATCCTGCCATTACTGCAAAAAAGTATGGCCAAAAATTTAAGCTTCAAGCTAACTTGCATCTTCTTCTCATATTGATATTCAATAACTTAGCATAATTAATAATAATGAGGTACAAAGATTGAACAAATTACTTACCTATTAGCGAATGTGATAATAATACTCTGCGTTGTTTGTCTGGCATTGTATAAAAATTCTTTGTGGTCACTAAGTTGGTAATACCAGTCGTGAATATAATCTCTAAAAGCTAGCTCCAACACCTAAAACATGATCAATATAAAGCAATACAGTTTTATGTTACTTTCATTTATAAATCAATTTTAATGTAATTTTTTATTCATGTACGGTCTATATTTTTTATATAATATAAATCAAGGTAGCCGTTAACACTGTAAATCATATATAAATCATCAAAGAAAGGTAAATACAGTGTTCGAATAAAGGACTTAATAAATACATCGTGTAGCATAGCTCTCAACGAATGTAGTCCTGTAAATAAATGAATAAAGAAATTGTGTAATAAAATGCCTCTGGCGGGACTCGAACCTGCGACCTCTCGCTGTCAAGGCGAGCGTCATAACCATTAGACCACGGAGGCT